TTCCCAACAGTCCAGTCGTAAGTACCATTCTCGAATGAATTTCGTGACGAGTGGGCCATTTCCGATTTCCGGTAAAATTTCGAAGGAGAATTTACAAAACATCAAGAATTCCTTGTCTGTTCGAAGAACAGTCAAAGCCATCTCGAACGCCTCTTCTTTCCAGTCGGATAATTTACAGCACTCGGAGACCACTAATGGCACAATGCATACGTGCGAAGCTACCTTCTCTTCCTGTACAAACTTGACCCATTCGGAGATCTTCTTCTTATCGACTTGGTTCAAAAGCTGCCTCAATGAAGTTAGATTGGAACCCAGGAAATATCCGTATTGAACTCTGCCACCCGAAAAATATACGATCTCCTCGCTGCCGTACAGAAGAAATCTCTTCAATTTTGACTCGGCGATCGATCTGAAATTAGAAAGCATGTTATTTACTGAAATAAATATATGTACTTATGAAATAAAACAAACACTATCTGCTAGAGTTTTTGAATTTGCACGTTTCCAGAATTTGGATTTTGATTAAAAGTAACACCACACTTACCTTTCAGACATGTTGATTTCGAAACGCAGAAACTGGTCTTCTAAGAAGTAGTTGACGACTTTCAATGTAGAACGATTGGCAATCAAATAGTGCAAATTGAGTGAAAATACTCTTTTTAATACCTGTCCTTGGTAGGGGGCGGGAGGCGTGGCATAACTTCCAGGTTTCTTACCTGTCCATCCTTTCCCTTATTGGTATTACAAGGAACAAAGCAACCTTGCATCCTGTGCAAATTCAACTGTTTAAAAGTATAAAATATATCATTTTTGTTAGATATATACTTTTTTAAATTATTCAAAATACATTAATAATAATTTTAATTTTGCTTGATTGGTTATTGGTTGTAGATAATTAATTTCCCATTTTCGAATGATTACTACTGCAAACACTGTATTTATTACGGGTGACGACTTAGATATAAAAAATTATAATTAATAATAAATAAATTAAATATTGCTTTAAATTTACAACTTTTGTCATTGACATACGCCACGAAGAAGGCGAGTAATCTGGGTGAATGAATGTAAGCAGAGTATGTTTGTAATGAAACATATTATATATGTATTAAATACAATTATGAAACTAGCATCATTGTATATCATCTGAATTTTAGCATGTGGGAGTTTGGATAAAATACATGTATCCTGTTTATGTCGTTTCAAGGGCTCTTACAGGGAACGAGTTTTTACTTTAATATTGCCGTACATAGTATTTCTCAGAAAAATTTGAATTTTAGTTTACAACCGATAATTCATTAAAATTCACTATTCCTTTTCCAAAATTGAACTCATTGTAGCTGATTGTCGACATTAGTACGAAGTCATACTGGTCACTCCCTAGTGTGCTTACATATATAGAAAAAAATTGCTTTATTTGTGGGCCGTTTTCTCCAAATCAACAACCACAAATTTTATTGAACCGTTTACAGGATATCCGCCGTCCTTTTATACATTATAAACAGAATTAGATTTGTAATTCAATTTATATTATCCTACTCACAGTAAGTTGTTTTTAACGAATTGGATTTCGAGGTAATAGCTCATAATCAGGTTCAAAATGTTCCACAACCACGTCGCTCGACATGGTTGCAACACTGCAAGTTTTCACATAAAGCTGTTATGTATTTAAAAGTACAACTAAGTGTGCATAAAAAGCTACTAACTATAATTTTTAATTAATATAAGCTTGGCTTCAAAGAACCCTACACAATTCTTAGGCGATTGCTATCCTAAATAATCTTTCTAATGCCAATCATTTTCGAAATAAATGGGTTGGGCCATCTTGTAGTTACAAAAGTCATACTCCCGTTAGGTATAACTATGAAATGGTCGAACATTCCAAATGTTTCCTTTCATTAAAAGTGTTATAAAATAAGCTGTACAATCGAATTGTACGATAAAAATGTAGGATTCTCATTTAAAATAACAAAATTGGTTTCATTTCCAAGGAAGATGAGAAAGTTAAGTCAACACCTTACTACCGCGCGATTCCTGACTAAAATTAACTTGGGTTTGTGAAAGACGATTTGTTGCTCAATTTTATAGTTTCCGAAGAAAATGGGTGGGATATAGAAGTTGATACACCCTGTATATGTTTATATGCAATATATAAGTATCGTTTAAAACATACTAGAGTTAATTTACGCCACATTGCTTTGTTAGTTATAATTTACTATACGTAAATACCTGGCTAACATCAGAGTGCGCCTCACTCAAATTACGGTCAGTTAATAAAACGTTTTTATATTTTATTAACTTTTTTAAAGTCTAAAACGTAATTTTCTTTCAAACCTCAATTTATTGGACCTGGTCAACTTCTTTTTTGGAGACTACATTTTCGAATTCTACGTTTATGAACAAATTTAAACAAACCATATATACAATAAAATATATATATATATATTCCTATTTTTCGAAACAGAGTGTGGAAAAAAAGAAATGTAGAACTAATTTACGTAATACAGTATTGTGTTGCCCCAAACTCTTAACAAATCTTAATAAATAAAACTTTGACATCACAATCATGATAAAGGGGCGTGAAAGGGTAAGACCGCATACAACAAAAGAGTTAATCCCCCTTTCTAAGCCGGAAGGAAATTCTTCCTTTTTTACATTTATAACTTGTCACTAGTTCCTTATTTGAAATAAAAAATCCATTTGTGATTTATAAAATACTACGTTACAATATTACAATTTTGCTGCAAATCTTTAAACTCACTTAATTTTTTATAATACTTTATTCTAAAAATTAAATATTATTAGCCTTTCTTAATTAACAAAGGTACACCACGTTCGCGCTAAATTAAACGGTAGAACACGTTAAAGATCTTGGTTTCATTATTGACAGCAAATAAACTTTCAAACGCAAATTAGTAAAGCTAATGGTAAAACAAATAAAATTTTAGAATATATTACAAGCTGGACTAAAGCTTTCATGATTCGGATGCAATTATACATTTATTCATTTTCTCCGTTAGACCAATATTTTATTACTGTCCAGGCTCCCTTCTGATCCACCGGGATCGGAAGATTAGAATGCGTTACGAAAACGCTGATAGATTACCGAATATATAAGCATATATAATAAAAGTTAATGCACTAAACATACAGTTTTATATTAATTTGAATTTATTTTGTGGCGAGTTTTATAATTCGATATCAACACCTATTTGAACAAACAAAATTTAGTTATTTCCAGGAATACCACAATGAACAACTAAACACTACAAAACGTGAAATATCTGGCTAAGATCTAATATAAGAACATCGGAAAATATTCAACCTACCTTCCGACGACAGAAAATTTTAGTCCCTAACAGAGTTGACAGACAAAAATTAAGTCTTCTGTCTAAATATGAAGTAAATACAAGTTTTTGTTTGCATACAGAAATCCCGTCAGCGTGGCTTTTTCTGTGACGTGACTGCACTTATTGTCAAATCATAATGAGGGTATGTTTGTCACGGCGCCTCTGAGATGGAGTTAGTGATTTGAGATTGAGATTTTATTTATTTATAATAAATTTAAATGGAACACATCCCTTTAAGTTTGAAGGAAAGTAGCGGGGCACAATTACATCCCGTTACAATAATTGTTCTATTTGACCGTAGTCTAATTATGGAGGTTTTAACAATATTGTGCTACTGGGAAAAAAACCCCACAATAATAGGATATATGCAGAATCAGGTACATATTGCATTGAGTAGCTTTAACGATGTCACAGGAGTAATTATATATATAATTATATATAGCTGGTATTACAGCCTAATTTCTAGTCTGCATCAACAGAAATCCTACCATTTTCCGGCTGTATGGAATTCTTGACAAAATTAGCGATGTGAATTCCGAAAGAAATCTGAATTCTGTTAAACGAGAAAAAGACAAAACTAATTAGTTTTAATAAAAATATTTAATTATGAGGGATTGAACGAAAATTTAGAAAGAACAAAATATAAGTAACAATTTATTCTATCACTAAATAATTTAAGGTTTGCGTAGTGAAATGTCTATATAAACATTACCATTGAACATTTTTGGATCAAACAAATGTTTAGTACTGTGGACAGTAATATTAGTACATTTTCTTTTACATAACGATATAAATGTTTTTATACGTTTTGTAATAAATAGGTATAATAGTTAATGTGTAGAGATTAGTGGCTGTTAATCGATAGACCCTCCCGACCGCATCTCACGATATCTGAATAACTAATAATAGGTAATAGTTTAATAACTGTGTCTTCTCTTCCAAACTTTTAATATCGTAAAATCCTTTTTCTCACAAACAGCATCAGAGGACCGAGGGCGTGAAGGTTTATCCGAATATTTTGAAGTTAATTTTGCTGTTAGGCAGGGTTGTCTACTCAGCCCAGTTCTATTCTCTCTCTTTCTTGATAACCGAGGGGTCGACTCTCGAAGTGGAGTCCGAATTGACAACGTTAGCATATAAATACTACTTTATGCAGACGATATCGTCATTTGCGGGATGGCCACTCATGGGCTACAAAATAATATTAAAAGTATTATAATCATATCGCACCCAGGAGAACCTGACAGTTAATCACAAAAAGTCTGAAATCATGATTGGTGAAAGAATACAAATACCTTGGAGTTACGCTCACCCCTTACACACAGTTATTGTTATTTTCTCTTCCTTTTATTCTTTCACTCTTAACAACGACCTCCGGCATACGGATTGTGATCCATGCTGTATTATGCTTTGTTAATAATCATATTGCTTTATTCGTAGAAATAAAAAACGATAAAAAATAGTGTAGGTAAAAAGGAAAATCAATTTTTAAAAAAATACACATTTATTTCATTGATAGCGACAAGTTAAGTCAAAGAACTAATGATAACCAATATTACACAAAACAATAATTAATCATATTTATAAAAATATACTTTGTATTATATACAATTTGTCATACATTTAAAATTTTCTTGAATTTCTGTCCAGATTTGCTTTATAACAAGGAAAAGGCAGTGATGATGTCGCACATTTTATCATCGAAACCAGACGTTAACAGTACGTCTTTGTCGAACTTAAACGTCCGGTCGTTTCTGATGCCACCTAGACTACAGAAAGCAAATTTTGGAGCTCGTGGGTTCTTTTTTCGATGGTCTTCAACGTTTTTCATGTAATCGTCGAGATTAATGTTGGCGCCGATGACGACAAACAGATCGGTGTCGAGGGTTTCGCCGTTCAACGGGTTGAGATAGAGGCTTATCTCTCGCGTGCTTGGATAGTCCTGCAAATTGAACATCAATAAAATTATCAAGTTTAAAAATGATGATGATAAGAAGAAAATTTCAAACACAACTTACCCAGGTATCGGTGCCGATATAATCAACAAGCTCCTCTACAGACATCCGAGGCTCTATATATTCAAGAGTAATGCCTTTGAAAACAAGCAAGCTGGCGTTTCCAGCAGTTTGTGCTAAGTGCAAGGCAGCTACAGCAGCGGCCATGTCAGCATGAACAAACCGTTTATAGTTACAATAGGATGTAGATAGATTGTGGCAATCCATGATGACCATAATGCTCTTCGACGTTTTTGTTACATTTTTCTGCAATAGACGTAAAAAACAAGTATAAAAATCAAGAAAAGAAAAATTCAAGAATTATGAAGGGCAAAATTCATTCATTTACTCACTTCCATAGCTATGTCCATCTGTCTTTTCAAAGCTTTCAGGATATCTTGATTGACTGGCTTGGGCTTGTATAATTTGCTGTAGAATCTCCTGAACAGTAGAAATGCCAATGAAAAATTTCTATACATACAAATTAATAGAAAGGTTTTAAATTTTTATACTAACTCAGATTTGTTTTTCCATTTCTGATGTTCGATGCAAGACTTGCTCGGACGTATCTGCGACTCGACGACCGCACCGAGGTTTTCCAAGCGATCGCATACGTGAGACACAAAATGGGTGTCCCAAGAATAAAGTCCCGGATAACGGAGGAAACCGTTCTTTCGTATAGTTGGGAGTTTAGCGAGCAATTCCACTAGGTCCATCTCTTTTATTAAGGCTTCCCAGATATGTTTGTTTTCTAGTAGGACCTTGTTGGTCGTGTGGATGGTGTGTCTGTTAGCTCCAATTTCTCTGCAAAATCAAAAATGAAAATATAATACTAAAAATCATGATTAATTATAATAACGTTAATCGCGTAAGCAAACGCAGCTGCCTTTAGTGGACATGAAGAATCGATCTTTGCCAATTTTATCACGACTCTATGGTTCCATCCGTAATAATTCTCTCTATCGCTCACTAGTTCGACCAGTTCTAAATAATGCCGCCTTCGGTACCATCCTTCGAGGAATTCCATTACTGCCGGTCCTGTACCTATGTCCGGTAGAATTTCGTACGAAAATTTACAGAACATTAGGAATTCTTTGTCAGTTTGCAAGACCGTCAAAGCCAACTCCAACGCCTCTTCTTTCCAACCGGATATTTTGCAGCACTCGGCAACCACTAAAGGCACTAACGCGATATGTGAAGCTAGCGTCCCTTTTTGGATAAACTTAATCCAATCGAAGATCTTCTGCTTATCGACTTTGTTAAGCAGGGTCCTCAATGAAGCGAGATTAGTTCCCAGGTAATGATGGTATTGGACCCTGCATCCGGGGAAATATACAATCTCCTCGCTACCGTAAAGTAGAAACCTCTTCAATTTTGACTCGGCTATCGATCTGAGAATTCGAAATAAAGTATATGTTATAAAAATTGCATTTAAATTACCACTTATTATTTGAACGAATTTTGATTTATAAGTTGAACTTTGGAAAATTTTGAGAAAAAAAGTTTACTTACTCTGACATGTTGACTTCGAAGCGTCGAAAGTAGTCTTCTAAGAAGTAGTTGACGATGTTCAATGTAGAACGATTGGCAATCAAATAGTGCAAATTGGGAGAAATCCCCCTTTTTAATACCCGGGCAAGGTAGGGGGTGAGGCGTGGCCTAACTTGCAGGTTTCTTACCTGCGTAGCCTTTCACTTTGACCGTTATGGGTGCAACGAACGAAGCAACATGGCGTCCGGTGGTATACACAACTGTATGATCCTGTACAATATATTCATATTATTAAACAAATATTTTTAAATTTTTTCCTCCTATATTAATACTAATTTATTGGGATCCTGCAAAAGTTGTTTTACGAAAGTATTTCTTTAGAGAACCTTATACTTTCATTTACGAAAATTCAAGCCTTGTAGAACAAAACTTTATAAAAAATGATTACTTTTTTTAAATTTATATACTAATTTAAAATATAATCATTACTATTATTATTCCTGCGTTGGATCATATTTTCTTATATTTTAGTATTGTATATAGTATGCTTTCCGAAAAAATGGCGAAATGGATCACAGGGCATTTTACAGCCCGCACCTGTTTGCGCAAATGTCCTATTTTCGAAAAATATTTTTCATTTTTTCCCAACTTTTTGATATTTATTCCGGCCTTATGCATAGCCTTGGTGAATTACAAAATATTCGATCGAAAAGAAATGATGTTTTTTCTAATCCATGGGAAAACGCTTCTAATTTGGTTAATTTTATGCGGACTGCGATCAAAAAATTACAATGTAAAAATAAAATAAATAAAATAACCCGTTAACACACACATTTTCCCTTCTTCCCAGTACAGAAGCGGAATTCGGAATTTGAAATTCGCTGGAAATGTGTGCCATATCCTGACAGCTGTGAAAACCGATGAAAATCGGCGCCACAAATTCCGGAAATCTATGGTTTTTTGTATATCCTGGCACCTGACACCTATTATGTATGTGCCCATTTTATATTCTCTTAACCGGCCCAGCATTAAAGTGTGAATTGTTTTTTGAAATCGGTCAGTAGGTTTCGTTTTTGACATTAATACACATCCGAATATTCATTTATACCTATGTTAACGGGCATAGTGAACAATTCGTTCATTATTTGAAGTGACCGGGCAATATGAATATTGACCAAAGAAAATAGACAATGTCATTAATTTAGTGTTTTCCTACGTGTTTTATCTCTTTGACCGGCCACTATGCATAATGCTGACACATCGTTGAGCAAAGTGATAAAAATCTCAAGACAGAAAGATTGTTTTTCTGATAGGTTCATTCTAGCAGGGTAACGATTGCTAGAGTTGTCTTCCAACGTGTTTTATCAACTTATCAGTGATATCAGCTGTCAACAACAAAACACGAGGTGTTATATTCTGATATTTATTGTCCTGATTGCTGAACCGATTGAATAAATGATCCAATTGTCCAACACAAAATACCCAGCGGCTTGTGTTGGCGATACTGTGAGAGTTCGGGTAACATTTCAGCTTCAGGTGTTTTTGTTTTGTTTAGAATTTTTGTTAAATAAATTCATATGTTATATTTGTAAACCAAAATCGGAAGAAATATATGTTCCTTGTATATTGCGATAAATATTTACTTATTTAACGGTATCATTATTCCTACTTCCAATAAGTTTTTTTTTTCACGATCCGGATTTCGAGCCTACAGTTCAGCATAAATCATTAGGTTTCCGTTGTTTGCTATATATTGATGAATTATCAGAAAAAGTGGATACAATTCATAAACAAGAAGGTTTTAAAATAGCTTTTAGTAGCACGGTTTCACTTAAAAACATCCTCACAAAACCTAAAGACAAAGTAGACAACATGGCAAATAGCGCGGTTTACGAACTTAATAGTAATGATTTTACCAGTAGATATATAGGACAAAGAGGTATAGAAATAAAAAGGAGAGTAAAAGAACACTTGGCGAAAAGGAACAAATTTTCGGAATTTAAGGACCATCTAAAAGAATCAAAACACAAATTAAATTTAAATACGATAGTGTTACATAGTTTCAACAAATGGATAGAACTAGATTGGTTGGAGAAATTTGAAATTAAAACATATAAAATTGAACATGGATATAAATTCAATAATAATATGGTGGATTTTGATCTACCTTTTAAATATGAACATAAATAATATTAGAGATACAAACTAATCAACTCAATTAATTAAAATTTTCAATCAATTATTAAGGTATCATTTCAATTTTTCTTTTATTAATTAATAAAAATAAATAATAAAAATAATAAATGAATAGTAATAAAAATATAAAANCAAAAATAAATAAAATAAAATAAAAAAAGAAAAAATATATATCAAAATAATAAAAAAAACACTGATTTATAAATAATTTCTTATTTAATTGTGTCATAATTCCCGCTTTTCGAACGTTCAAAATTGAGGGGCATTAAAAACCAGCTTCTTATTGGAACATAGCGTTGGCGGGGGTATCGGCGGGTTCAATTTTGCAATTCACGTCGAAGGACGGGTTTGAAACTACTTCAACCTGATGATGAACTGTAACATCGAAATCCGGAACGTCAAAACAATTTACTGTGAGAAGGAATTTACTTTTTAAAAAAGATTATTACTATTGATTTTTGTTTTGTTTAGAATTTTTGTTAAATAAATTCATATGTTAGATTTGTAAACCAAAATCGGAAGAAATATAAGTTCTTTGTATATTGCGATAAATATTTACTTATTTAACGGTATCATTATTCATCCAAGTATTTAACGACTTTATTTGTTATTCTTATATCCGTGCGCAAAATTTAGTCAAGAAATCATGTAAAAAAACTGTCTCCCTTTATTTTGCAGCTAAGGAAACTATCAATTGATCTGGACCAGACGTATCTTAGATAAGGTCTTATATTTTTTTTTATTACTAATTTTAGTTGAAAATGAGACTTTAACCAATTATAATAACGATATTGCATTCCATTACCCTTATTTTTGTTTATTTATATTAAGGTATAACAACTTCAACCGAGATTGTTAAATGACATATACACGGGGAAAAAAAGGACCAAAACTAAATTAAACGATAAACATTTTATTACATAGATAGCTAACTGTAAAGTCAAATAACTAATGAACAAGTACAATTTTTATCGCGTAAAATTAATTAAAAGAATGTACATGGAATTATTTACAATGCGTCAAATATTTATAATTTCGGAGTGTTCCTTTAAATTTTGGAAAAATAGGCGATGATTTCGCACACTTCGGAATGCCATATAGGCTACAGAACTCAAATTTTGGCAAATTTAGAAAGAACAAAAAAAAACAGGAATATCATTTAATGAAAGAACAAAATTTAGGTAACTATTTATTCTATCATTAAATATTTTACCGTTTGCTTGGCGAAATGTCTTTCTAAACAATACCATAAAACATTTTTCACCAAACGAATTTCTGTTACTGTGAATATTAATATTAGTATATTGTCTATTAAATATCGATATAGATATTTTGAAATAAAAACGAAATACCTCTGTTCGGTTTTTGTCGTTGAGTCAGTCTTATCATTGACACGCAATTATCAAACTTTAAATACTACCTATTATATTTGCCATTGTAGGTTTTTATATGTTTTATAATAGGTTATGTGAAATATGGAGGTAAAAAGGAAAATCATTTTTAAAAAAATACAAATTTATTTCATTGATTGCTTAAAGCTAAGTCAAAGAATTAGGTATAACAAATATTTAAAAAAACATAAACGAACTGAACAATTAATCAACTTTATGAAATTATGCTTTGTGTTATTTACAATTTGTCAAAGATTTAAAATTTCCCTGAATTTCTTTCCAGGGTTCCTTTAAAAGTTGGAGAAAGAAGCGATGATTTCGCACACTTTATCGTCAAAACCCGAAGTTAAAAGTACATCTTTGTCGTACTTAAAAGTACGGTCGTTAGGAATGCCACCTAGGCTACAGAAAGCAAATTTTGGAGCCCGTGGGTTCTCTTTTCCATGATCCTCAACGTTTTTCATATAATTCTCGTAGTTGATGTTTGCCCCGATCACGACGAAAAGATCTGTATCGAGGGTCTCACTGTTTGTCGGGCTGAGATAGAGTCCTATTTCTCTCGTACTTGAAGAGCCCTGAAAAGGAGGGATTTATTGTATGTATAAATTATAAATCGGTGACTGGTGTTTGAAAAAAAAATGAATAAATAAAAACAAACTTACCGCTGTATCGGTGCTAATGAGGCTTAGAACATCGTCCAAAGAGGTGCGAGGTTGTAAATATTGATGGCAGATCCCTTTGAAAATTAGAACCTTGGTGTTGGCCAATGTGTTTCCGAAGTACAAGGCAGTCACAGCAGCCGCCATGTCTGCCTGAACAAAACGTTTATGGCTGCAATAAGATGAGGACAGTTTGTGGCAATCGACGATAACTGTAATGTTTTTGGTCGTCATTTTCGCATTGTTCTATGAGAGAGAAAAGAAACAAATATAAAAATTATAAACGAATATGAAAAGTCATTGCACAATTGTGTGATAAAAATCGTTTTCGTTTACACACCTTCAACGCTTTCTCCATCTGTTTTTTCAGCGCATTCAGGATGTCTTGGTTAACTGACTTGGGCTTGGAAAACCTCTTGCAGAACAGCCTGGAAAATAGGAATACAAATAAAAACGGTTTGGAGACAACAATTAATAGAAATAGCAGAAATTTGTATACTCACTGAGAACTGTTTTTCCATCTTTGATGCTCGATGCATGACCTGCTCGGACTTATTTTCGACTGGAGGACTGCACCCAGACTTTCTAAACGGTCGCATAGATGAGGCACAAAATGAGGGTCCCACGAATATAGGACCGGACACCGGAGAAACCCTTTCTTTTGTATAGTCGGAAGTCTAGTGAGCAGTTCCTGGAGGTTCATCTGTCTTATAAGGGCTTTCCAAACTTGTTTGTTTCCAAGAAGGGACTTGTTGGTTGTGTGAATGGGGTGCATGTAAGCTCCAATCTCTCTGCAAAATCAACAAAATATTTCGATTATAAAACAAAACTTGTATTAATATTAATAAGTGGATATGTTGGGTTATGATGGATACTCACATGA